CCCCCCTGAGGACCCCCCAAATCCCCCCGGGACCCCCCCAAAGCCCCCTCCCCAAAGGCCCCCCGGTCCCGCAGGGTGAACGGGTGCTACGAGGCGCTGTCGGGCGGCAGCACCTCCGAGGGCTTCGAGGACTTCACGGGCGGCGTCACCGAGTGGTTCGACCTGCGGCGCCCGCCCGGCGACCTCTTCAACATCATCCTCAAGGCGCTGGAGCGCGGCTCCCTGCTCGGCTGCTCCATCGACGTGAGCGCCCAACCGGGGGCTCCTTGGGGCTCACTGGGGCTCCTTGGGGTTCCTTGGGGCTCACTGGGGCTTCTTGGGGCTCACTGGGGCTTGTTGGGGTTCACTGGGGCTCCTTGGGGTTCCTTGGGGCTTGCTGGGGCTTCTCGGGGTTCATTGGGGTTCACTGGGGCTAATTGGGGTTCCTTGGGGTTCACTGGGGCTCCTTGGGGCTAATTGGGGTTCACTGGGGCTAATTGGGGCTCACTGGGGCTCCTTGGGGTTCATTGGGGTTCACTGGGGCTCCTTGGGGCTTCTTGGGGTTCACTGGGGCTCCTTGGGGTTCATTTGGGCTCAGTGGGGTGAACTGGGGCTTGTTGGATCTAATTGGGATTAATTGGGGCTCACTGGGGCTCCTTGGGGCTCCTTGGCATTCACTGGGGCTCATTGGGGTGAATTGGGGCTTGTTGGGGCTCCCTGGGGTTCGTTGGGGCTCCTTGGGTTTAATTTGGGCTCGTTGGGGTTCACTGGGGCTCCCTGGGGTTCACTGGGGCTCCTTGGGGTTCATTGGGGTTTGTTGGGGTTCACTGGGGCTCCCTGGGATTCACTGGGGCTCGTTGGGGTCCCGCCCCCGCGGCTGAGCCCCCGCCCGCCCTCGTGTCCCCCCAGATCACCAGCGCCTTCGACATGGAGGCCGTGACCTTCAAGAAGCTGGTGAAGGGCCACGCCTACTCCGTGACCGGCGCCAAGCAGGTCAGCGGCACCGGTTTGGGGTGGAAACGGCGCTTTTTGGGGTCTGAGAGAGGCCCCGATGGCGGCGCCGGTTTGGGGTGGAAACGGCGCTTTTTGGGGTCTGAGAGCGGCCCCGATGGCGGTGCCAGTTTGGGGTGGAAACGGCGCTTTTTGGGGTCTGAGAGAAGCCCTGATGGTGGCGCCGGTTTGGGGTGGAAACGGCGCTTTTTGGGTCACGTGACCCTGAGGGCGGCGCCGGTTTTGGGGCAGAAAGGGCTCTTTTTGTGT